GTGCGTTATAGTCATTTGGAAGGTTAATTTTTTCTTTGTAGTCATGCCACCAACTTGATATGCCATTAAATTTGTTTTACTTTGTTATAAATTTGGGAAAATAACATTTTCTTTATTATATATAAAATATTAACATGATTCCAAAAATAGAAAATGGAAAACAAGGTACAGAGTTCTATTACTTCCATTTTTCTCCTGCTTTAATATCTTTTTTAAAAAGGTTTCTGTTTCTACTTTATTTTTTCCCATTAAATTTATTGGTACATTTAAAGCAAACAATACAGTTAAATTTATCATTGGATCTTGTACCTTTATATGATGTGTCTTGGCTCTTGTTTTTTCCCCATTATGTGTGTATGCATTGATACCATCCCTTCTTTTTTACACAAAGGTTAGCAAACATTCTACATCATACTTGTTCCATTATGTGTATCCTGGTAATCATATTGTATCAATACATAGAGACTCTCTTCCTTTGTTTCTACAGGTGCTAAAGCACTAGATTTTATATATATATGATGTGTCTTGGCTCTTGTTTTTTCCCCATTATGTGTGTATGCATTGATACCATCCCTTCTTTTTTACACAAAGGTTAGCAAACATTCTACATCATACTTGTTCCATTATGTGTATCCTGGTAATCATATTGTATCAATACATAGAGACTCTCTTCCTTTGTTTCTACAGGTGCTAAAGCACTAGATTTTATATATATAAGTATATGCCAATTTTTCCAGTGGTGCTGTGTAAATTTCTATATTCTTAGAAGGTTGATAGCTAGATCAAAAGTTAAATGAATATGTAATTTTTGCACATGCTGACCATAAAATACCCCCAAAAGTGTTGTAGCTACCTCAGTACAGTGGCACATTCCTGTGGTACTCACTACTGGGCAGCAGGAGGACCACTTGAGCCCAGGAACACAAAGCCACTCTGGATAACATAGCAAGACTACCCCCACCAATTTATATTGTGATATTCTGAATTTATTTTGAATTTGCAAAATAGTGCATATATTAACATATATGTTGTCAAATATCTTTATTTCTTCCACCTGATAACTGAGCAACAGTTTTTTAGGATAATTCAAACTATACTTATCTTGTTACAAGCAAGAAGTTAAGAGCCAAGTTTACATTTAAATTTTGTTTTCTATGAATTGTCTATTCTCTTTAATCCACTTTTCTGTAGTTTTTCTTGGGGGATAGGACAAAACATTTTTAATATAATTACATTTACCATACTTTTTCCTCCTGCTTGTGCATTTTAATCATAATTAGAAACATTTTTCCTACTCTGTGGGTATAGAGATGTTCACTAATATTTTTCTATACTAATTTTTGTACCCATAATTTTAAACAAGATCTTGAAAAGAGTCTGATGTACATGAAAACATCAGCTTACAATCCAAGCTTATACAGTGATGTCAAACATTTCTCTAACACAGTAAACATTCAATAATCAGTTATGCTTTTATTTTTCTTAATTCTTTTAGATGATGTAAATCTGAAGTCTTCTTTCCTAAAAAACAAAATATGCCGTTAGTAAATTAAAAAGTAATTTTCTGGAGCAATTGATGCATGCATAAACATTGAATTATTATCATTCTTACCTTTTCAAGAGAAGACGACATAAACCACTATGATGCAGCCCACAATCCAGCCAATCAAGAGAAGGACCGGAACCATGAGGTGTGACAGTGTGTGCTCTGCTTAACAACAAATAGGGAAAACAGAACAGTTGGTCATTTGGGTAGTAAACCTTCCGAATCAAGAGAAGGAGAAGAATCTGGTAGTACTGAGGAAAAACACTCCCTCTATTCATAGCCATATATAATTATTTTTCTTTTTTTCCCACAGAGGATCCCAGTGACTAGGTCATAAATCCTGGGTGCTTAGACTAGAAGTCCTACTTTCAAACCAAGGTCATCTTTTTATAGTTTTATAAGGTTGGACAGTTCAAATCTTTAACTTTATCTTTGTAAAATGTAGACGGTGAAACTCGTGACACCCTCCTCTTGGAAGGATGACGGTTAAATGACACGCCATGGGCAAAGCTTTGTAAACTCCGATTACCAGTGTGTGTCTAGTGCCTGCAGAACACATTCATGCATTTGTGCAATGATGCATGGAGCAGTGGTTTGCACAACAACTCAATATAACTCTGAGGTGATATCTACTAAACTAAATAAATCACAGTATGTAGAATTGCTCTTGTTCTCAATGGCTGACTTTAACGTTAAACTTCACAAGAGAAAGAAAGCCTCATACATTATATAATCATTCTCAACTGGAGAGAAGTGATTCTATTTCTTTAAATTTGTTTATTACAATAATTAACATTGAATTTTATCTATGGGCAGTACTAATTCACCACCCACATGGAACACACACACACACACACACACACACACACACACACACGCATATATATATAAAACCTCCTATTTTTACCCTTACCTTAAAAAGCAATTTATAAAAGTATCTATTTTTTTAAACTCGCTGCATCTAAATCTTGCTTTTTCAAGCAAATACACAAGCACACATAACCACATATACACCACACAAAGGATTTCAGGCCCAGCACAGGAAGACATCCTATGGAACTGTCCCCGTGCTAAGGACTCAGACACATTTTTTATTGGAAACTACAATTAGAGCTTATGCCATTAGCTAACAAAGAGAATTCTTAGCAATTGTATTCTCATTATAATTTCCGTCACTTTAAAATGTGAAGGTTTTTTAAAATGCTATTAAAGTCATTAGGAGATGAGGCACTTCTAAAATTAGAAGATAGTCTCATAAAAGCAAATTTTCTGAAGTTTAAATGGATTTTAATAATTTCTATCTATTTTTAAGAGAAGGTTGGAGTGCCTTTTAATTTACAAATACTCTGTGACCTTGAACAAGGAAAACTATGTTTTCTTTACCTGCCATGTGTTATTCTTTAAGGGTAAAGCAAGCATTATAAAATGCCCTTTACCCTCATTTGGACAAACGCCTTTCTATGAATTAGGATGCCATTACAGAGGAAGTATGTAACAATATTTTTTTAACTGTTCAAGTAAGTGACCTAGTACCTTTGCCAATTTCAAAGAACTTGAAAATTAATATTGATATTTCAACTGAGTGTTTATAAATATTTTATATAAGCATTTTAATAAAATTTAATGAGGCATAGTTTAATAAAATTTACATATAATAAAGCTCTAAAGGTAACTATCCCATTATTTACCTTCCCTTGTAAAACAGTACAATTAGTGTGCATTTTAACACTCAAAGTATAATTGCATTAACATTTTTTAACACCAATACTTTCAGTTTTACCAATCTACAGCATTGTTTAGAAATAGGAATACATAAGAACCTGATGTACATTACATAAATCACTTACATGTACAGCACAAATGAGAACAAAACTCTGTAAACATGAAAAGTGATTTCAAAATGCTTCTCTTTTTGTCTGGTTCTGAGTACGTCAAAGTATTCACAGTTAGAATTGCTCATAAGGGCATGACACTGTGGAACAGGACTGTCCAAGTTCAAGACCTGGAATCTACACTCTCTACTGATTATGGAAAGCTAAATTTCACTTTGCTCATCTATAAACTGAAGATAATGATAATATGCATATCTCATGAGGTTGTTGTCAGGATTTAAAGCAAAAGTTCCTGAATGTGTTTTTTAAAATGTTTCTTAGACACTGACATAGTCCACCTATTTTACCATAGCAGAGTCCATTATTTTATATAAACATATAGATATGCACATTTTTAAAAGTCACAAACATGTATTTAGATATAGAGCATCTGAGAGATGACTGAGCTCAATATCTTTATTTTACAATCTAAGCACAGGCTCAGAGTAGAGTGACTTCTCTAAACTCACATGATCCTTAATTCCAACCTAGCACCCTTCATTCCTTCAAATTTACCACAACACTGGAGAATAACTGATTTATAACTCACCTTTCAAAATGAGCACGAACAAAATTAAGCTTTCGGTTGATCCTTTCAAAATTATTTATATCCTATAAGCATTGTCCATAAAATGCATATCCATCTAATGACTTTTTACAACCACACTAAAATATATGGCTTCTGGCTGGTTAATGGAGCCACTACATTCTTCGAATTAAAATGCTAGGAAGCACAAACAAACTAAAGCCCAGAAGTCTTTATTCCTAAGAGAACTGATGCCTTAAATCTTACCTTTTTCAGCCATTATTCTTCTTGTTGAGCGGCTTGATAAGGACCACAATTACCTCTTCCTTATTGTTATCCAGTGTCTCTTTGAACTTTAAATAGAGAGATATCTGAAGAGTGTGGCAGCTGTCCCTCTATTAGCTGCCAACTGTCTGCACGATGATGTAAGTCATTGGAAAGCAGAAGTCCTCTGTTTCTTCTTTATCCCTTTCTTTATGACGGAAACAAGGGACCGCTTGACCTAAACAATTAAGTACGCTGAGTTTTCCTAATGAAGAGATAGGCAGATTTTAATTCACTTAATTCTTTCAGACAACAAGAAAGAACTCAGTGAGTGGGAATACAAAGGAAAAGGACTGAAAATTCATACTTTATCAAGGAGGGAAGGTGAAACATTGGAAAGAAAGGACTTTGGAGTTAGAAGAGACCTAGATTTAAATTCCACCCCTGCTATTTCTGTAATGAAAGCCAAATTTCCTAACCTGGGCATTGGCTTTTTTTTAATTTTAAATAAGAATAATTATAATACTTCCCCAGGAGAATTGTGTAAGATAAAATGAAAAAGCTACCTGAAATATAGATAGCTCTTTATTATAATACAGATACAAAAGATAAAATAAATTAAATGGTGCCCCTTCTTTTGAACCATTCTGAAAACAGAAATGTTAATATAAATGAACTATAAACTAAAAAATAAAGGCACCGTGGCATTACCTAGAATTCTTGGAAAGCAGACAAAAGCTTGTCTTTATTAGCAATATATAAAAATAGAACATTTCGTTTTTCAAGTCCATCCCGGTTTATGTAACATGACTTAAACTGTTCTCTAGATTTTCACTGGAACAACTTTAATTTTGGAGTCCAGATGGAAAAATTTTGCAAAGTGACCTGGTAACTAACATTCTCAAAATCCAACATGAGATTAAGAAAATCTTCCTGCAAGAAACAAAGCTTGCCTCATCCAGCTATCACCACAGAGCTGCAAGAATCACATTTCCCTGCAAATTACCACGAACCATCAGTGCTTGAAATCCCTCAGGAGTTGCCTATCATCTACAGGATAGAAATCTGGTCTTGGTTAAACTTCTGAACAGCCTAATCTCTCTATGCCTTCATCGGCAATGAGACGTCCTGACTCTTTATTGTTAGATACATTCAGAATACAGAAGCACACAGAATACAGAATACAGAAGCAGAGAGAATGCTTGATGGTCTACTTCAAATAATGTATCTATATATTAGAATGCGGAGCAAGCCTACTTGTCGCCTCTTGCTCTCCACTAGTTAACACTGAAAAGACATCTGGCGATAACAGGTAAGCAGAAAAATTATATATTTTCTAGGAATAAAATGCCTTTCTTCCCAATGAAATTGAATATTTTTTTCAAAATTAAGTAATAATATATTAAACAAAGGCTAAGTGAGGGCAAGAGATAAAAAGAAGCAATAGTGATTATTGATTCACTTAAATAAAAACATTTTTATTTATTTACTTAATCATTTTAGTTGACATAGTATGAGCTACATGTGATATTTTGGCTTATTTATACATTGTAGACTAATCAAAGAATATTTATCAAACAATTTTATGTTCATATGAACATTCATATTATTTTAGAAAAAGTTTGAAAAGAAGTATCAGAGTACCCTCCCAAGAGCAAACACAAAAAATACATGTTAAGGTAAAATAATTTGCCTAAAATGGATAAAAAAGAATGTAGAAAAAAAGGGTTTTACATTTTAAACACACATTTCCATTTCAATTACCTTAAACTTTCTTCTTTGATATAAAATGGACTGTTATTAACATTATTACCGTCAATTTGGAGTTTGGGGAGGGATTACTTTATAATTCAACATTTACTTTTCTTACTTTTCTACAGAAAGAGAGAAGGGAGGAAAAAAACCAATTCACTGAACGTAAATAGTCAAACCCACAAAAGGATTCAGCCTAGAATTTCATTTCCTCCCTCTCTCTTTAAAAGTTTTATAATGTTTATTCAGAAAAAAATGTTTTATTCATTAATAGAGTGGTTTCACTTTAAACTCGTAAATCCAAGTGCTTATCATTGACCATTTTCCAATCTTTCTCTTGGACATACTATTTAGGAGCATTTTCTATTTATACTTTACATACTCTCTTGAAGGTTTAGCTCTTAGATCCCTTATTCTTAAAGTGATATTAGAGTCTTCAAGTTAAAAAAATTAAACTATTTGATACCTTATTCAAGATAAATCAGAATTCCTCAGTTTTCAAATATTTTAACCATGGATGTGTGGAATTTTACAGCATAAAGAGCTAACTAGACCTTCACCTAGTGACTGGCTGACTGGCTGGAGAGCTGGGTGGGTGAGTTGATGGAACAATAAATGCAGAATAAAATAGGTTCATCTGTGATCTAAAATATTTACTTAAGGAAATATCTAAGGATATCTTAACTATACACTAGCCACATGATATGCATATATCCAATATTAAATAATATTCAATCATTTACAGTCTATTTAGTTACTAGATTAAGAATAAGAATAGAGTATCAGAATAAGGTGTAGTCCAGGCTACGATTAAATGAAAAACAGGGAGATCAGCAAAGAGGAATAGTAAGAAGTTCCAAAAACTCCATAAAAGTAACAGGAAAATATTGGCAGCAATCTTTTCAACATTCTGGAAACTAACCAAAGGCTTACAACAGTTTGAGGCGCACTCACTTAAGAAAACTTTCTAACATTGAATAAGAATAGCAATGCAGTTGTCTATTTCCGTTTCCCTATCTCCTGCTTTGCAGTAGACCTGATAACAAATATTACACAATCACTGTGAAAGCCAGCAGCCTGCTAACTGCCAGAGAACACAGAAGGGGGTAGAGCTCCTTTCAAGCCTCATTCCCAGTAAATCATCTTCAGCCTATCTAGTGATTCCCCGAAAAGCCCACTTACGACACTATCTTTATTTGACTTTATTTGACCAGACTCCGATCTTACCCAGTATAAAAATCACTTTCACCCACAGCACCTGTTAAAAATAATTACGACCGGATAAAGAAGATGTGGTTTTTCTATAAAATGGAATACTACTCAGCCATAAAGAATGAGAAATTAGAACCATTCGTAGGAAAATGGATGCATATGGAGGTCATACTCTTAAGTGAAATAAATGTCACACATGTGTGAATACCAAATAGTTTCTCTGGTGTGAAAAACTAAAAGTGTAAATAAGATCCAAATGGTATAATTGACAATGTAAAATAGGAAGAAAAGGGCTAAAGGTGTAGGGAAAGTGGGAAGGGTAGGGGAAAGGAAATAAGGGACAAGAAAAAATATGAGAAGAAAAAATGGAAAAAAAAAAGTTTTTGTAAATAGGGAAGGGAGAAGGGGTGAAGGGAGGGCAGGGGTATGGGGAGAAAATGAGAACCAAGACCTGTCAAGTAAGGGTACAAGATCCCAATGATGAATGTAACTGTGCTGTATACCTAAAATGTACCAATAAACTCAATGAGGAAAAAAAAGAAAGTAATTACCACCAATTATTTAACACCACACCTACATGGATAACAGTTGGAGAAATGAGACAGGATAAGTAAAAAGCTTAAAGGGAAAGACTACATGATGAGATATTCATAAAAGCTTTGAAAAGCTCTGCATACCCATGGAATCCCCCACAGATGTGTGTGTGGGCAGTGGTTTGCAGACGCATAGCTACGGATATGTACAGCAAAGCCCTGAAAAGGCCCTACACTTACACCTCTGGCTAACCAGGCAGCCAGTGAAAGGGGAGGCAGAGTTATCCGCTGTCTTGTTCAGCATTTAAGCTATTCCCTTTCGTACTCAAAGAGCCCATTGTCAAAGTCTGGGAGACTGACTGGTTCCTAGAATCCGGCTCAGTCATTAAATGACAACTAAGCCAAGTGAGCAGAAACCCCAATGACCGCATACAATAAATACAGACTGTACAAAATCAGTTCAAAAGTCAAATAACTGAACAAACTGTAACAGCTGCAATAAAATCTCCACAGGCCCAGGAATCTGATTTCAAAGGGTTGACAAATCGCATCATTCAAAACTGCCAAGTTTTTAACAAAATATTATGAGACATACAAAGAATATTTTAAATTATGGCCCACATTTAGGGGATAAGAAGCAATCAAAAATAAAGGTACTCTTCAACTTACAATGGAGTGATGTCTTGATAAACTCACTGCAGTTGAAAATATTGTATGTCAAAAACACATTTAATACACTTAACCTAATAAATGTCAACAGTTTGGCTTAGCCTTACTTTTTTTGGGGGGGGGCGGGTCTCACTGTATAGTTGAAAATGACCTGGAACTCACTGTGTAGCCCAGGCTGGTCTCGAGCTCACAGCGATCCTCCTGCCTCAGCCTCCCGATAGCTTAGCCTTACTTAAAAATGCTCAGAATGCTTAGCCCACAGATGGACAAAAGTCTCCTAACATAAAGCCTACTTTATAATAAAGTGCTAAATACTTTGTATCATTTATTTAATGCCGTACCGAAAGTGGAAAACAGAATAGTTGTATGAGTAGTCACCATGAATTAACATAGCTGAAAGTCCACCGGGCCTGAAGAATAGAGGAAGCACTGAATTAAAACTAAATGCTGCAGGATGGAGTTACTACTGGGAGAAGACCATCAACTTCTTTCTCTTCCGATGAGAGCTGAGAATTGCCTGTAGAAGACACTGCGATATTAACACTCCTTCATAGTTCAGCAGACACAGTGTTTTTCAGGGGAGAAAAATCAAGTTTTGACTGGATGATTTCTTCTTTTCATTAATTACTTCTCTATAGTGAGGGAGAAGATCTTGTAACTGCCTGTCAGTTCTTGAGAATCTCTTATAATTTACTTCAATTTCTTCCAACATCCATACACCATTGCTGATAACAGAAAGTGCCTCCACCAGTTTATTGACTGTGATTTTTTTTTTTTTGGGTGCCTTAGGGATATACTTTTCTCCCTCTGCCTCAATTTCTTTATTTTTTCTTCCTCCAGTTTGATCAGCTCCTCATTAAAAACATCTTCAGCCACAGCACAAAAAGCTAAGGAATAACCTCTTCATCAATGTCCAATTTCAGCAGCTTCCCAAAAACTAAGATCTTGCTACTTTCACATGTGCAAGAAAATCTTTCCTAAAGCCTTTAAATATGTTGGTGTGTTATCAAAACTTTCTTCTAAATGCGTGTGTAGATCGCTATGTGTGATTTCTTCCCATGCTTCTGCGGTGTTCTGGACAGGATTTAGAATGGTGAAA